GTAAGAACATTGTAATGCATTAATCAAAAATGGATCAATATATTGAGCTCTTTTCCCACCATTTGTGTGAGTGCTACGAGATCATATTTGTTTTTCCGATGACATAATTTCATCGTCCATGTGCGAAACGTACAAAGGTACGAGGCATTCATCATGCAACTTCGCTACATAAGCCAAAGCGAGTCTAGCAGTTATCCCTTTATTTTTTATTATCTTTCTCTTTTATTATTCTCTTCCTCTCTTTTTAGCCCTTTATCATAAAAAAATCCACTACTCCTCGTCCTACATTATATTTGGTATCATAACTTTTGGTTTAGCAAGGATGTTCCATCATCAAAGCCGATCCATATTTCAAGATGAGTTCCTACGCAACGAAAGCGTATCATGCAGGACCAATCTAGTCCATCACTTATTTAAATAAATTTTATTAGTTTAGGGATAATTTTCATGTGTCATGAATGGTCGTTGCACACCCGCAACAACTTTATTCAACGAATCGTTCGTCGCTTTTGCATGCTTATACACAGATATGACAACATGTTTTGCCTTGGTTTTGTGTATTTTTACTTGGAAAACGTAAGCAACAACAGTTCACAATGCTGCAGTGCGACCACTCGCCGCGCCGGGCCGAACTGCACCAAAATGGCTCCATTTTCGCATGCCATAGCTTTTTTTTCTGCAAACCGCAACTGCACACGAAATGTTAGCCATCTCAGCACCTTGGAACCCCCCGAGTGGCACAGGGCTAGATGGGGCTTTGGTATATTGTCGGGCGTTAAACAATCTTTACAATTTCGTATGTTAACTTGACGGGAACTTGCTTTCGCGCCCAGCACCCGGTGAGCAGTTGTTTGTGGACTTGCAACTGTTCGTTCTACCTTCTAAAGTCCTTGTTTTCTCCTTTCTCTCTTTTCTCTCTTACACTCAAGGTGCTTGCTGAATTGCTTATAAAACTTCCCTCTTTGCGAGACATCGGGACTTGTCCATCGCTCGTTTTCAATCTAATCAACTTTTTATTTTACAAGTCCTTCGGGACCTGTACGAGGTTGCAACTAGACTGAACCTTTACGGACGCATATGTCACAAGGGCGCCTCATGACTTAGGCAATCTCAGCTAAGTCCGAGGAGTTGGTGCAAGGGTGCTTCACGACTTAGGCAACTTCAGCTAAGTTCGTGACTTTGTTGCAATGGTGCCTCACGACTTAGGCAATTCTAGCTAAGTCCGTGACAATAAGTTGCCACATAACAACATCCAGGATAATTATAATCCAGTTTCCTGCTTCACTCAAGGAACAAAAAAATAAAGAAAATATGAAAAATTTTAAAGAAATCAAATCATGATTGTGATTGAAGATTTTGTAAAGATTGATCTCTATGAGGATGGAAGCTTATCAATCAAGAATATTATCTTATTCGGAGGGAAGATCAAATCAAATATATATTTGATTTGATGAAATTGTTTACATTTTCCTTTTCTTTTCTTGTATTAGAGCCTATAAAAAGGAGCTAAAATATTGTAATGCATCAATGAAAAGAAGATCAATGAATTGAGTTATTTCCCCACCTTACGTATAAGTAGTGCAATACCACAAGTTGCTTTTCCGATGGAATGATTCCATCGCCCACGTGTCAAATGTGCGGAGGTAATGACACCTTTATCCTAGGAGCATTCTCCTTGTGCCAATACGAGTCTAGTAGTTATCCCTTTATTTTCTATTATCTTTCAATCATTATATTTATCCTCCTTCAATCCTTCAATCTATTCCTTATTGCCAGTCATCCTACATCACCCTAGTTGTTAAAACACTAATACTCTTTGCATGCACCTTATGAGTTGCCAAAACACTTTGTATGTATCTTATGAGTCGCCAGCATTCACATTCATAAAACACAAATGGCCTTACAATTGTCTTGTAATATGGGGAACACATGACCATCACACAATTTAATGCACCTCTCCGCCTTATCCATCCACACTTTCAACTTTACAAATAATATCTTCATCACTCTCCTCTACTTAACGTCTAACGAGTAATAAATCAAAGATATTTAAACTTTGTGTCCCTCTATTTTAATTATACCCTTGGTTCTAGTCTTATTTAGCCTGATAAACTTGGTCCAGTTTTTGTTTAACATGAAAAATTACAACACACAAGAACTGAGAAGAGTACAATGCACATGAAAGTAATTGAGAACAGATCAACAATTGCGAAGATATGGACATCATTCACTCATCCATGTTTCTTGCTCGTTTTTGTGCTGTCCATTAACATGTTCTTATAATATAACGCATGATCTTACATATTTCATAAGGTGTCACCTGTAGACCCAAACTCCTAAACGCCTTATATAGTTTAGGCTTTTTGGTACCTTAATCTATCATGTATTCATGCATATAAACATGTGTGGTGTAAAAGTAATGCATTCAAGTCAACTCACTTATAAAATAAGTGAGTAATTGATTTTTTTAGAGAAAAATGCCCTATAAAGAAATTATGGAATCTAGTAGAGCAATGACAACATAGCACTGAGCTCTAAAGCTGGATTCACTTCATTTTCACATGGCATTTAACTTTGACAAGGACTATGCCTCCATCAAACAGACAGTTAACTTTGTGGCATTTAACTTTGTCAAGGCTATTTTCCTTTTTTGCCACTTGAATCCACATCTGATTTAGCCACAATTAAAAACTAAAAGGATGGGAAATCTAAAAGGGCATTGGGTTAAAGAAACTATTCCCGAATTGAACTGCAGCAATCATGTAAAGCATACAGTACCTGCTTCTCTGGATACTTTGGAGCAGATATCAAAGAAACAGCTTCCGTATGTCCAAAATCAACATCATACCCTAGCATATATATGTAGAGCATTTTCCAGACGTATTTCTTTTTCTCATAAGGTGACAAGCCCTGTCAAAGAAGGAAACATTTGTATCATTATCTGATAAACTGAAACAGGATTCAGGTTTGTATCAAAAGTTCAGTACAAAACAACATTAACAGTACCAAGTCAGGTTGTCAATATTTTTGAATGAGCAAGAAGAGAATAAAAAGAAGAAAACATACTTTAATACTTGTATTTTTTTTTCATTGCACATATTTGAAATATAAGAAGACAAGCTTCTAAGAAGCCTTAGAAATAAATAGAGCATGATGTATACTCAGTGTTGCAGCACATGTTCTCTTAATTTTGTTTAACATTCCTTTTTATTTGTTGTTTGTTACTTGAACTATTTATTTTTTAAAAAAATTTAGTTCTTTTCAGATAAAACTTGACAAAGTTGAATTGGAACTATTAGACATCATTCCAGCCAAGCAACCTCACTCTTCAAGCATGATGACAGTGTTAATTCGTCGTTCATTGACTACATAAAATTATCCCCAGCCTAAACCACTACTTGTTTTCTTCCTAATTTTTGCGCTGCAACCCTAGGTAGTCAAAGACGGCACGAAAGATAAGTACCTTAAGTAGACAAAATTATAGACAATTTCAGCTGCTTTCTGCGGCAAAACATCAACTAAAATAACCATAACATTCTTCGAATGTGAGACAATCGTAACCTAGGAGCAGCGATCTGCGACCTATTCGTTCTTGGCGCATTAAGACCACGTAAGAAAAGGGTTTATGGAAGAAAATCGAATAGAGAGAGAGAGAGGGAGAGATGGGGGGAGAGAGAGAGAGAGCCGAAGAAATCAGAAAGAAAGAAGCAGGCGGAGGGATGACCTTCTCGTTCTTGAACCGGGTCCTGATGTTTCCGAGCTCCTTGTCGACCCGCAACCGCTCCTGCTCCTTGTTCTGGCAATTCCTGACATCACTGATGAACACAGAGAGCCCTCGCATCCCGGACAGCGCCATGGCCGCCCTCGATCCGCCCTCACCGCGGCGGATCCGATCGCCGGCGTCCGATCGGCCGAAGCCCGCCTCAGATCCAAGGGTTGGCGCACCGGATAAGCCGCGGAAACGCCTCCGTCCGCCTCGATTCGGAACCCCAAAGAGCGATCGGAACCGAACGAGCAAGGTCGTTCCCCAAGACTGGCGAGATGAGAAAGAAATGAGCTGCTCTGTCGATGGCGGATCGGCGAAAATGAAAAAAAGAAGAGTCGACTATATATCGCTTCTTTTCTCGTTTTTTGTTTACCTTTTTTAAGGGATTTTTTTTTTCTCCCTGGATTTAATATAAATAAATCGGAGCTAAAAATTGGAGAGATTTGTTTGACGTTTTCGAACGATTCGTCCACGGGACGTTCGACGTACCTGCTACGGGGTTGGCTGGGATCCGTCACCGCCATGTAGCAACCTACGCGGAGGATGCTTCGACTGGTGCGCACGAATCATAAAGCCATGAATCGAATCCTTACGTGGATCTCGAAGCGCGTCGTAGCCAGATCACGCGCCGGCGTGGCTGATTCGGGACGGTCGACGGACATACGGCGAATCCGGGTCGTATATCGCACGCGGATGATACTTCTTTTCACCCTCTTTCGCTGTACCCGTTTGATACTGCTGTGATGTCTACTGGGTGGGCTCAGGCGGTCGCGGCCATGTTGTCCAATCATAATGCACAATCGTTCGCAGGATCCCACCGGGGAGCGTACCGAAAGTAAATGTGACATGAGCAAGCGTGGCGCAAGGGGTAACACTACACCTACCGTTACCGACTGTACCGCATAAGCGTGTGAGAGGACGAGAGCGGGCCCCACAGAACATGGATCCGAACGGTGGGAGGTAGAGAAGCGGGCCGCTAAGGAGCAGGTAGAGACTAGGGTTGGATCGGGCCCGGTCAATGTAGCTTTGTGGTCCCGTTTGACTTGTTTTATGCCAACAAGGATTGAGATCGTGCATTTTTGTGCTAGATTTGACTCGTACAAGAAACGGGTCGGGATCAGAAACGATGTCCTGCGGTCATGATTCAACGAAGCCTGTGGATTTGGGCCGCCATCTTTTCATCGATCTGGTTATTACCCTCACATCATGACTCACTCACCTTCCAAAAACCTGTGGGCATTCCTTTGCTCGATCTTCTCATCAAGCATGAGGCAACGGTAGCACATCGATACTTCGCTTTAAAGGCACACACGGACCAGCACGCGCTCTCCGCCTCACACTACCAAGCATGCAGAAGCTGCCCGCTTTGCTCGTCTTCGTCGTCCTCCTCACCTCCCTGCCATCTCGCTGCCTCTCTTTCCATGACTCCGACGACATAGACTACTGGTGCAGCAACATGCCGCACCCGGAGCCGTGCCGCTACTACCTCGGCAACAACCCACACGTCGAGATCCCCAAGGACACGGCCCAGTTCTACCAGGTCTCCCTCCGCCTCGCCTTCGACCTCACCGTCCGCGCCCAAAGCCAGCTCAAGCGCCGCGGCCCCGCGTGCCGCCAAGCCCGTGAGAGGACCGCCTGGCTCGACTGCTGGAAGCTCTACGACAACACCGTCCTCCAGCTCAACCGCACCCTCGACGCCCCGCACGGCGCCTGCACCGCCTTCGACTCCCAGACCTGGCTCAGCGCCGCCCTGACCAACCTGCAGACCTGCCTCACGGGCTTCAATGACACCGGCACCTCGTCGGAGATCATCGAGCCGGTCACGCGGTACAACGTCTCCGACCTCATCAGCAACTGTCTCGCCATCAACCGGCCGGCCGCCGCCGCTGCCGCGACGAACGTGTCGACGACGACTGACCGCGGAAGGGTTTCGAGCTGGATGATGATCGCTAACAGGCGGCTCCTGCAGCTCTCCGCCAGCGCCGACCTCGTGGTGGCCAAAGATGGGTCGGGAAACTTCCGAACCATCAAGGAAGCTCTCGACGCCGCCGCGGCAAGGATGCAGAGCGGAAGGCTATCCAAGTTCGTGATATACGTCAAGGCCGGTGTGTACAACGAGTACGTGCAGGTAACCAGTAGCTTAAGCAATCTCGTGATGCTTGGCGACGGCATTGGAAAGACCATCATCACCGGAAACAGGAGCGTCGCTAGTGGCTATACCACCCTCAGCTCTGCAACCTTCAGTAAGAAACTACAGACCCATGTTACCTTTGTTCGACGAGCATGGATGCATGCCTGCATCACTCATCAGTTCACGTGATCTTATTCATGTCGATAGGTGTGTTCGGTGACGGATTCAAAGCGAGTGGCATCACGTTCAGGAACACGTTTGGTCCAGGATCACAGGCGGTGGCGCTTCTGTCGGCGTCGGATCTCTCTGTCTACTACCGGTGCAGCATCGAGGGATACCAGGACACGCTGTTCGTCTACAGCCAGCGGCAGTTCTACAGGGAGTGCGACATACACGGCACGATCGACTTCATCTTCGGCAATGCAGCGGTGGTGCTCCAGCGCTGCAACATCTACGCAAGGCGGCCTCGGCACGGCGAGTCCAACGTCATCACGGCGCAAGGCCGCAGCGACCCCAACCAGAACACCGGCATCGTGATCCAGTTCTCCAACATCGAGCCGGCGGCCGAGCTGCTGCCGGTGCGGAAGACCGTGAGGTCGTACCTGGGGCGGCCGTGGATGCAGTACTCCCGCACGCTCTTCCTGCAGAGCTACATCGACGGCATCATCGACCCCGCCGGGTGGCTACCGTTCAACGGCAATTTCGCGCTGAACACGCTGTACTACGGCGAGTTCGAGAACACCGGGCCGGGGTCGAGGATGTCGAAGCGGGTGAAGTGGCCGGGGTACCATGTGATCCAGCGGCGGTCGATCGTGCGGCCGTTCACCGTAGGGCGGTTCATAGCCGGCCGTTCATGGATCCCGTCGACGGGCGTGCCGTTCGACCCGAGCTTGTAGCTCGCTCGACAGCTCGACATTCTTACTAGAATAGCTTTTCTTGCTGATTGCTGAAGGATCTCCCTTGTGCACTCGCCATTAGAACATGAGATTTGGCTGAATTCTTGCATTAGCGTTTCGTTTCATGTCGTCTCGATCTAAAACAGGAACATGTGAGTCGTGGATCTTGCTTGCTGTTCTTTCGCTGAAACATAGGTATGATTTGAGAATCTAGAGATGTCAAAGTCTCCAAACGCAGCTCGAGGAGATCCTTGGATCAAGCAATGTTCGTGGATCCAAGAGTCTACAATTAAAGAAGTGGCGGCGGCCAGACCGGTGGATCGGGGAGCGCCGGGTCAAGGGGTTGCTCCACTGCCGATGTGCATCGTGAGGTGAGCCCGGTGGCCACGGCCAGCTGTTGCCATTAATGGAGAGGCCACATCTCCGTGCACGCAGCGCTCAAGACCGCTCGCCATGGTCAGGTCACGGGAAGCTTCGCAAGATTAAATCTGGTCATCAGCCCAATATGTTGAGTTCATGTAGAACTTACAGAGATATTAATAACGATGGTCTTCTGCTAGATCTTGTTCTTACATGTAGGATGTGATGTCCTTAATTAAGCAACGAAAACAGAGTACCACATTAGTCGTGCTGTGTAGCATTAATGATGGCTTACGAAGTGATGGCCTTACATTAATTAGGATCACAACACAGATACCTTACGTGATAGCTAAGCTGTGTGAGGTAGCCATATTAATATATCTCAACAACACGATGACACATGCACCATACCATCGCAATGAGACATATTAATCGGTAACTACGTCACGGATCAAATCTCAATCGAATTAGCGACGAATCAGCCGTTAATAGACTAATAGAATATTATATGATGAGAAATATATTATTCGCCTATAAACTCTTCGCAAAAACTCTTTGCAAATTGGCTATTTATTGTCAACTAGAAGAAAAGCTGGAAAAAGGTGGAGAACTCACTCTGATTTACTGACAAGTCCCATCTGAAAAATAAAGTTTATTATCTCCTATTGCAATTATAAATAAGGGTATGAGCTTTCAAACTAGATACATCGTAAGAAAAATCTAATTATTTACTTTGGATTTAATTTCTATTAAGTCCATATTTTCATGGGCTTTGAAATCAGATGCATCGTAATTGTCTCTTTTATAGTAAAGTTTTGCTTCTCCTTCGTGTTCGTGGATAAGTTTTGTTCCTTCGTCGTGTCCGTGGACGTAGATCAATTGATCGAACTATGTAAATCTAGTATCCTTGTCTCTTTTATTGTTCTATTTTATTATCTTTATTGGGTTGTCAAATTATCCTTTTGCTAAATTTTCTGGGACAACTCTAACATAAATAATTTATTAAATATTTAGGCCATAAATCAGACTGCTCTTTCCACCCGTCTTATATTTTTTATTTTTTATTTCATGTTAAGAAAGAAACAACATTATTTAATTCTTAGAAATTTTTTATCTATATAAATAAACAAAGCTAACGTCAATTTAAACATTAGGGCTTGCGTATGCTTGTTGTTGAGCAAGAGGTGTAATGTTTCCAGAGCAATAATGGTTCTTATGGCCTTCTGAAGTGTGGAGCATGTTGCTCCACTATTTACATCCATCAGAAACAAACCTGATTGATGACCACAAGTTCAAATAAAAATCTCGAAGAACATACCACAAATCCAGTGAACCAAATGAATACGAATGATTTGTTTCTTCCCAAGACCGATGGACAATTTATCAGACTAAGAAAAACATATTTATCATTGTCTGCAATGAAGAAGATGGAAAGTGATGGATTGAGAAAACCACTGATTCATCCTAATCCATCAATCAAACAATAATCTTCAGACCTCTTCATTCATTCTGTGGGGAAAGAAAACAGCAGCAGAAGACCAAGTCTGTGGAAGGATGCAGTGTTAACTTCTATGTCATATTCATAGAGAAAGAAGAGAGAAGATTAGATAGTGATTCCAAGTCTTGTAAGACCAGTCTTTCACCAAATGCCAACATGATTGGGGTCCATCACTGCATCATGCATCAGATGCTGATCAAGTTTAATGTCATCAATCAATCTTTTGTTTACCCTGAAAGAAAGCAGAACTAATGGCAACTTGTCCTGAAATAAAGGGAGGGATGTTCCTAAAAAAAGAGAGAAAATTTGACCCTTGTCTTTGTGATCAAAAGTTAGATCAGCTTTGAGGAACAGTGTTTGGTATAGTAAAAGTAGTTCCATTAGATAGATCAGCTTTATCAGTTTAAGCCAATAAAATGAAGTGAGATGTCATGATTTATTATTATGAGTTGGGTGTCATTTTTTTAGCTTGTCTTTTTCTTTTTTTGCTTTTTTCTCACAAAAAAAAAAGCAAAAGAAGTCTCTTTTCTGAGATTAATTTTTTGTCACCCATAATAATTGATCTCAATGATTACAATTGATGTCATCACTGTTCCACAGGATAAACATTATTGCATTCTCAATCACTTCAAACTATCTGCTGAAACAATTGTATTGTATTGTTGTTGTTGCAATGGTTTGAAAACATGAAACTACCCATTAATCAACTTGAGATGTTATCAGACCACAGATGGTAAATCTGGTGAAAAGAGCTTGCTAAATCCTTCATATATATATATATATTAGAATAAAGTATAAGTTAGAATTTTCTTTCTGCTTAGTGGACACCAAAGCAGTACATTGTTTGCATGAAGAAGTTGGCCACTATGGCAACACAACACTATGGAAGTTGTGCAGAATCCATCAAACATGATAATAATATTCTTCAACTTGTACTCTGAGAAGTAGAACAGATAAGAGAATGAGATGATAACTGGTGCTCACAAAGCAACAGCAGTTCCACCGAAGCAATTGCTCTGCCCTGCTTCCTCTACAGAAGACAAATGTAATCGTGCAACAGTAAAAGAATTGATTTGTGTGGTGACAGTGATCATGCAGTAGAAAAGAATTAAGAACAGCTTTTTTGATCTCTCCTCATGGAACAGCAGTATTAGATTAATGACCAAGTAATCGTTGCAGCAGATTTGGTCATCGGGACATCCACCTGCTGCCAGCCAATTCTTTCTCTTTAATTTTTTTCATTGCAGAATATAGTTTCTCTTCCATCCAAATTCAATATCCTTTCAGTCACTCAATTTACTACTTTTCCTTGGAATTCTCCTTGATTTATGAAAAGTATAATTGCAATGCGAAGAGCAAGAGTGAGAAAGAAAGGAAAAGGAAGAGCGTGGACTGATGCCAAGTCTTTCCAAGCACAGAAGAAGTACTGTGATTCTCATTCAAGAACATGGCAAGATTATAAGAAGCTAATCCTAAAAGACTAAAAAGGATTACTGACACGAGAAAAAGAACAGTTCCAAAAAGGAAATGTTTCCAAGACAACAGTGATGCGATGGATTACGGGAGGACTGGGGCGGCATCAGCGGCGGAGCTTGTTGTTGTGTGCGGCGGCGGCGATTCGCGTCCGGACAAGCTCGAATTTGGCGGCGGGGCAGGGGATGGTGATGCCGCCGGGGTGGTGGAACCCGAACTCCTCCTCCGACTCCCGCAGCAGCTCCCCGAACAAGGGGTGGTTGAAGTAGATCACCGGCACCGTGTATCTGCGTGGTGGCCCACCCTCCTTCTCCCCGCCGACGTACACCGCCAGGTGCCCCTTCGGCGGCGGCGTCCAACCCCGCCCGCCCTCCCTCTCCAGCAACGACACTCCCGCCCCGAACATCACCTCGTCAGCGGAGCCCCGGGCACAAACCATGCGCCGCGATCCTGATCCTCCTCCTCCTCCTGCGCTCCGGCCGCGGCGTAGGCGGCTGGCGAGATGGCGGCCCCAGTGAACGAGCTTTGTCGTCATAGTCGTCGAAGGCCCGGAAAGGAGGGATTTTGAGATGGAGTCGGTGGTGGAGTCGAGGCGGAGGTAGCTCCTGGGGACGCGACGGCTCCGGCGGTGGAGGACCCATCGCCAAACTCTCACGAGCCGCCGCCCCAACTTGAATCCTCTATACCTCTTCATAACTAAGTTACAATAAGAAGAAGAAGGAGGAGGAGGAAGAAAACGACGTAGTGTTACTCAGCAGCTTCAAAGAAACCAGAGGTGTTGGTCATCCCTTCCTTGTCTCTGCTTCTTACTTTTGTTGTGGAACTAATCAGCACGAACTCTCTTCTTCTGTCAGTGAAAGAAAGAGAGAGAGAGAGAGAGAGGTCGTTGTTGTGTAGTAAGAAGTAGTAGTAG